TATTTTGCTACTCTACAATTGCAATTGAATAATATGAAGAACAGCGCCTGATTCAACAGCAATAATAATACAACAAGCAATATGGAGGAAAACAACAGTGTTCTAACGTCGAACGTCATGCATCTAGCCTCTACTGGCATACAATTGTAAAAAAGTCTTAAGGCCCTTGCAAATGAGACTAGAGTAATTCAACAAGCAATGAATAACAATGACTCTGTAGAAAACTATTCTATTTCGAATGTTACGGGAAGAATAAATTTACAGAAAAAAAAGGGACGCTTATTTAGTCACTTGTATTTTGAGATATTGTCATTGCTGTATAAAACATAATCAACAACTGCCATTAGAAGAAAGAGTAAGAAACTTGACTTCAAATAGACACATGGTTGGAAAAAGAGCAGTAAAGAAGCAGCTACAACCGATAGAAATCAACTTCCCATAACAAATAGAAGAAATAGAAGAAGCAACAATAGAGAAAAAAAATATCTTTCAACGATCGTCTTGCGGCATTCATTGATGGGCTATATTTTGAAGAATAAATATAACTGCATGATGCAAAGCTTAGAAAAGGAAAAAGGAATAATTTACTGTTACGAGAGCTTGTAAGTGATGTACACTTCGAAATGAAGAATGATGAATATGGTGATAAAATAAATTGAAGCGATCTGTCCGATGATTAAAGGAATTTATTGTATCATGATGTCAGAACAACTTGTCAAGGATAAAGACTAGAACATTTACAGATGCTTTAGATCGTAGAACAAGAAGGTTAATAGGGAGGATTCTGAAGAGGTAGGAATAATTTGATTAGAAATACTGAGAGTGTTATTGTTTTTCTTTAATATACAAGTAAAAATAAAGATAGTTGCACTGATACGACGGACGTGAGAGGTGTGTATGGTGATAATAACTAGGAATAATCCTGATGATCATGGCCTAGCACCTTCCACTTCTACGGTAATGACTTATCAACTATAAATTTCAAATTTACGGTTTTTTGTCAAAAATCGTAGAAATCCTACGCACTGTTCTATTTTTATTTTTAGTAATAAAGCTCCATAGAATTCTATATAAACAAGGGTATCCCTTCTCTTCTTCTTCTCTTTCTTTCTCATTCTCATCTTAACATTTCAAATGAAGTACTTGGAATCTGCACGTTTACAATTAAAATTAACAAAACACAAATTATTTTATTTCTTGTAGACAGTATAACTGCTTAAACAAGATTGTTTCTGTCTCTTTATGTCGTTTACTAACTCTTATTTATGTTTAGAACCCTGCTGGCTTCGTTTCAAGCAAATGACAATAATTAAATTACTTTATGGTAAACAATAAAACTAATTACTGACTTGATTAACTTTTCTTTTAAATAGACTTGAAAGCTTCAATAAAGGGCTCACTTGTGGTAAAAGAAATAAACTCCTTGGCTATGGCTACTAGCATTTCTTACAATTAAGCGTCTATTGCTTTGTTTAAAGTAAATCACAAGTTGCTCATTGAACTTTCTAGTAAGAATAACTTTTTCTCTTCTGTTTTAAACTAACTCTTCTATCTACTTTAGTGCTTAAGGAAGTGGGTTGAAGTACGTTTGGTATTTTTTCTTTGGCTTCTTGGTACAAATGTAATGGAGTGTGCACTATAATGACTAATTGTTTCTCCTAGGTTCTTATTGTATTTGTCAACTAATACTTTCTGTTGTACTTAGTATAAAGAAATACTTGTTCTAAAATACTCTTCTTCTAACTTTTATTATAGTCTGGCTGCTCTTTGGTGTTTACTGGTAATGGAGTCTCTCATTCATTTGAAATGAAGAAAGAAGAAATGCTGTCTGATAATCTCTCCAAGTAAGTGCGGACCTTTTTATTTCTTTTTTATTCCTCTGACTTTCTCCTTTTCCCTTTGTTGTTCTTCCTGTTGTCCTTCTACCTTCGGAGTCAAGATGCTTCTTCATTTAATTTCCTTTTGCTTCTCCATTTATTTTTACTCCAAGATTTCTTTCCTTTATTACGTAAATAATTTTATAAAATGGCTTTTGCTATCCCAAATGAACAATATATGCTTATTATTATTAAAATAAATGAAATAAATAAAACCCATCCATTATAAAATAATTCCTGCCTATTTTGCCTATTTCTACCGTTATTATGAACCATTCAGAGAGCCCTAATATGCTACTAATAACCAAATTTGATTGGTCCGAAAACCGTAGATTTTGACCGTAGATAATACACGGCTGACTGTAAAAAATCTACGGTCGCCCGTATATTTTCTACGTGTTTTGCCAAGTACAAAGATAAGAGACAAAAACTAATAAGATGAGAAGAGGATAGGAAAAGGACAATAAGTCAGTGAGACTGAAATATATGATGTCTTTATTTACGATGAATAAAACGATGGTATTTATACTTTTTAACATCTACACACGATAACGATAATTGGCTTGGTTGCACATCTATTTATAATCATCCAAGAATTATGGGAAGGGCCTCTAGACTAAAGTGAACCTGATCTGACTGTTGTATTTTAGCACTGAGATTGACTTTGTGGTATTTGGACTAATAAATGGCATACCAATAAGCTATTACACATAAATAATAATGAAGTAATCCAATTAGAATCAAGATAGATGATATCTATTTATAAATTGGGGACTCT